ATGAACGGTCCCTTAGAACCTTTTCAATGCGCACCAGTCGATTCCTTGTTTTTTCTTCAAGTGGATAAGGGCCATGTAGAATACCTTCGGTTTCTGCGATGAGTTTTGTAACTATGCCCTTGTTGCCCGCACATGTTGCACGTAGTCTTGGAAGTTGCTCTTCCTGGGTCATGATTGTCCCAGCCCCATGTTGGGCGCCATTTTATAAACTCTTAAAAAGAACCACTCGCATTGTCAATTTAATTGTTTAATACTGATCGAGACAAACCTAAAGAATGCCCAAAAATTCACTTGTATCCAAAACATATACAGGAAATTTGATAAAGGTATAAAAGTGTCAATCAAATTGAAATCAATGACGAGCTGTACAAACAAAACCTCTTAAAAAACGTGACTAAATATTACATAACAAAATGCCTTGTGAAAAGAGTGTGACTGTTCTTGACAGCTGCTACCAAGGCGAGTGCTTAATACATCAATTGAGTAAAGGAGCCAGCATCTTAGCTTTAACGTCCCTTGGCACTTGCAAAACCAGAAAACTCGACACCTTGATAGCCCTTGTTCTCCACCTTATCAAGGTAGTACTTAATAATAGGGAGCTTGTGCACTTTTTTACTCTTAAAGTGTGTCCAGGTGCTTCTTAACTGTGGACATAGCGGATGAAACTTAACTTAAACTTAACTTTATTATTCCACTGCTCATACAGTACAGACTCAGTAAAGCCAAAGCCGGGGGCTTATACGGCCTGTAGTCAGCATGACAGAAATTATTTTATATAGAAATGAAGACTGTAGGCTAAACTACAAAACTAAAACAAGATACAAAACTGAAATTAAATAAGTTTACATGCATGCAGTCCTATAACAGTCCTATAACAGTCCATAACTAGTGACAAATAAACTAACAATATGCTATGAGAATCCTGCGCTAGTTCAAATTAGGCTTAAAAAGTGAAGTTTTAGTTTCTTTTTGAAGTTACTAGTGGTAAGGCTGTCATGAACAGTCAAGAGGATATCGTTCCAAATAGTCGGGGCTTGAGAACTAATCGCAAATTGATACCTGAGGGACATTTTATGCAAGTTGAAATGAGAACGAGTTAGATAATCATGAAAATCATGATTAAAGTGGAGGAGCGAGGAAAGAGAGGCAGGTAAAAGGTGATTAAAGCGTGAGAATACAAAACAAGAAACATGAAATTTATAAAGTGAGTGGAGAGAAAGAATATTAAGCTTCGAGAAAAGAGGCTTAGAACGAGTTCTTGGAGGAGAAAAGGTGATAATTTGAATGGCTTTCTTTTGGAGTAGATAGAGGGGTTCAAGGTAGGAGGCATATGTAGATGCCCAGATGAGTTTACATGATGAAGAAGATAAGTAAATCGTTTGGGTAAAAGAAAAGAGACTAGAATGTCCTAAGCTTCTCTAGATAATCGCCAAAAAGTTGAGAATTGGAGGAGCATCAAAAACCACACGTCCATCTTGTTCGATAACTGCTGACCATCTCAGCGTGACAGCATCAACACTTTCTGGCTGAAACGTTTGAGAAAGAACAGTTGCTGGCTGTAGCAAATCCACAAAGAGGCAAGGGTCAACAAAAAGTTTTCCACTTTTTCAGGTAACCCTTCAGGTTTGATTGGTCGCTCTGTTTCATAGATTTGTAACAGCTGAGTGTTTCTAGGTTTTGAGTGTGTAACCCAAACTTGTCAATGAGAACTTTGAAAGCTGATAGTTTGTGGCAAATCCGTCTGGTACCACTGGCTCTTTTAGGCTTCACTGCACCCTCGAGAAATTAAAAACCCTCTTTATATGGCAATTGCAGCTCATAGAGACCTTTCAGTTTTTTGGGGCTGTTCTCATGAAGGTCATATAATCTCAGCAATACTTATCAACTTTGCTGAAATAGGTAGAGTTGAAGGGATCCTCTAGGGCGAGCTCTAAGCAATAGACTACATACCATGAAAATGAGAACCAAGGAAACTCTCTTTTAAAAATGATCCCCTGCTAGTACTTTATATAAGCTTTGGGAGCTTGTTCATTCTTTAACTCACCACTTAGAACATGTCAGAAAACATAAAGGAAGACATCTGGGTACTAATATTTCAGTTATTCAATATAAAATGAATAATGAATAACATGCTTAGTTTTACTAAAGGTATTATTATTAATAAGTGAAATTAAAAAAAACAGAATGAACTTTTAAAACACCCTGTCAATGTTCTTTGCAGATTACAGGTTTCTTCTCTGCCTTCTCAACACTATACATTTCTTTGAGTGGCTGTGGAGAATACTGACATGAACACCAACAAATCAATTACTCAGATTGGATTTTTGTCCTGTTAAAGTAACTTTTGGCGTAATTGTGAATACCCACAGCTTACTCAAGGGAAAGGTTTACTTGAATCTAATTGCTCCCGTTGCCACTTAGGAAGAAAGGAATATTGAATTGAACCGATCTTTGTGCAGGCATTTGTTTGTTTGCAGTGCACCTCTAAGTCCCTCAATTTTTGTCCCTTGAGCAACTGAGATAGACTTAATTGATTTTTGGCTTATATGAGAGGTAAGAAATAGCGATTTTAGCATATGCCTCCTAAAGCCTCTGAACTAACACAAAATAAAGAAAAACAATTTTTGGTTGTGAAATCAAGTGAACTGTTTCTAGCTAGGACAACTTTTCCTTATTCACTGACAAGCCTTCCATTTTGTTTTGTTGTGACTTTATAAGACAATAAGTCAAGTAACACTCTGGAAGGTGTGATTTTTTTCTTACGTGTTTGGTTGTACTGCAACTAAATCCTTTGATTCTTAAAATCTTGAGCAATCTTCTTTTGGTTTAAAGTATTCTGCCTTAACATTTGTGACACAAGTTGCAAACTTTAAAATATAATAAAGTACTAGTTTTCAGGAATGGTTTTTGGTTAGAAATGATGGTCCCTAAAGGAGCAGTTTAGGAAAGGAGTCTTTCCAGATCTTAATAACCAGAAGCTCTACCCTCATGTTAGACCACAGACGGGAACCCCTTTTTTAAGGTGGCCGATGTAGTGCCTACTCTTGTCAGGTGTCACAGTGTCTCAGAAAACTTGGAATCTGGTAACGATTTCTTTGATGGGAAGTTTGACAACCATTCTCAGGAAATGCTTTTGCTCATGCCAGAGTTTATCGATTGGATTTGTCTGGACTTTCTGCTGGATGTGGCCAGTAGTTTATGCTGTTATCTTGTATGAACTTCATTCTCAACTTAACTACCAAAAATCTGTTTGTGACATTTCTAACTAATTTTTTCTTGAATGTTTTTGTTTGTGGTTAGTGTTTTGATGTGAGTGACAATATTTTAGGTAAACTTAATAACTTTATTCTTAGGATCATTATCCTTCTGGAACTGGTACCCACTGTCTGTATATGTAGCCTGCATGAAAAGTAAATGTAACAGCACAATACCAAGAATATTATTTATGTAAAATTCTTTCTTCCTGATGCCTGTGAGGATCAGGATTAGCATTGCACATCTAGTTGAGATTCATGCCCAAATTAAACTGTAGAAAGCAGATTTTCCCATGACACTCGACCATATCATACTCTTGTCTGCAAAGATCATGCCTACCAATTTATTGTGGCTTTGTAAAGACTGCTGAATGAAGGCGAGGTAGGTGATATGCTTACTTTCTTGGACCGTTTGACAATAACAAGGCCCCATTTTTTTCAGCATGGTTTCCTTCTGGTTCTTTTGATGGTAGCAGTGGACAAGTGAACACCCCTCTCGCTGTAGAACAGCTTCTGCCGACCTAAACTTCAAAATGCATTCACAATTTTGTGGATCAAAAATCTCCATTATGATAATAACTTGTTCCTTCTTTTAAACTTCTCCATTTCTTAACAAAATATATTATAATGAATATTATAAACACGTTGAAAAATATGAGTAAAATGAGATTTCTAATTTTAAACCTCAGTATATGCAAACCATTTGCTAGCCTGCAAGCTAGCTCTTCATTTACATGATATCGTGAAAAGTAGATGTGTGAGAGAAAACGCAAGGGGGGATGGTTGGCAGGGGATAGAAAGGAGAGCTTGCAACAGTCACTCAAATTTTAATTTCCACCCCACAAACTGCCACCACAAACGTGCCACAGATGAGGAAAGTGCGAACCACCTGTCAAGTTTAGGCAGCTGAGAGTGTGGAGTATGACGCGCCATAGGGGACAAAAATACTTGTGTGAATTTATGTACAAGTTGTGTGAATTTATACACAACTTATCTTTGTCGAAGATAACTTCCTACAATACATTACAACTTTGCTCTTAGGTCTATGACTTTCAGCTTCATTTACTTGACTTCTGACAAAACATGTACAACTTGTCTGTCAAACAAACCACTTATCTATCTATTGACACAACTTTTAACTTGTAGACATCAAGGTTGTTTTGCAATTTGTGACGTGTTGTTAACATGTTTGACTTACGGCAGTTTTTATAACTCTCCTACGAAATACACGACTTAGCATTGTTTGAGTACAACTTTCTCTAGACACATAGACCTTCTTCCACATTTTCGTCCTACTTGTTATCGATTTCAATTAATCGTCATGATCAATTGGTTCGAAAGGGGTCTTCGTTTTGCGAGAAAGGATGTGTGAATTTCCAGGCATGACAGTGGATACCGAGAATACAATATGTTATGCCTCTAACCAAAAACAAAATTAATGGAACTTCAACATTCCCCAAAAAGTTGATCAGGCATCTCTGTTTTAAAATTTGGGCAACAAACTCTGCCTTCTTTCAAGGAAAAATAATGACACGGTCTCCTTTCCCGCTAATCTTGGATTGCATACTGCATAGTCCAATGATGCATGACACCTGCAGCCTTTTTTGCCTGTCAAAACACGGGAAAATTCCCCGCAGACGTCCTTGCCCCACTGCATCAGTAAAGTTTATTGGCTCTTATTTTTAAATGCACATTATTATTTACATAATATTTTATACTCACGTTGGCGCTGGTAAACCATCTAATTTATCCTTGAATACAGCCTCAAGGGCACTGCGAAGTTTCCTCTCTGACCAATTGCTACAGAACTCCAGAGAAGATGCAGCATCTTTCCCTCAGCTTTCGATGATGAATTTTCTTAATTCTCGGGCTAGGTAGTAGCATAACATCTTTCAGGAAAAAGCCAGTCTCTGCGAGAAGTTGGATCGTGTTGTCGTTTCTTTGATTTTGCAGGCCGGGATGTGCTTGCAGCGGTGGTTCGAGTTAATGTTCCGCGAAAAAGCCTGGCCACTGCCTGTGTTACCACTGAGGAAGAACTTGGGTTTATTTGCGACATTACGTTGCTCATGTCAGGAACCTGGGCTTCCTCAAGGGAATTCGATGTGGTTAAAACCCTGACTATATCCTTCAATATATCTTGAGTGCTTCTTCCCGTACCATCCCCCATCGTTTTGCACGCACTCGAAGACAAAATCGCACAAAGAATGTTGGGATTTGGTAAACCAATCGATCATGACGAATTTTGAAATTGATAACAAGTGGGAAGAAAATGTGGAAGTTCTATATTTCATAGAGGAAGTTGTACTAAATCAATGCTAAGTCGTGTATTTCGCTGGTGAGTTATAAAAACTGCCGTAAGTCAAACATGTAAACAACACGTAAATTGCAAAACAACCTTGATGTCTACACGTTAAAAGTTGTATGAATAGATCGATAAGTGGTTTGTTTGACAAACAAGTTGTATATATTTTGTTAGAAGTCAAGTAAATGAAGCTGAAAGTCGTAGACCTAACAGCAAAGTTGTAAATGTATTGTAGGAAGTTATCTTCGACAAGGATAGGTTGTGTATAAATTCACGCAAGTTGTACACAAATTCACACAAGTATTTTTGTCCCCTATGGCGCGTCATAGTGGAGAATTTAATTTATTCATCAAATCGCTTTTGCAACAGCTTTCCACTGCATGCATCAAAGCAATATTTTTCCGCATATCCAACTTATTGCCCTCGAAGGTTAACATTTGCTTCCACTGGCGTCCAGGATAGTGCAGACACAAGTTTTCGTTACTGCACTTGCGCATTAATCTCTCACTGGGAAAGTAATATTTAACTGGGTAAAAATTAAATAAACATGGCGGCCAGAGAAAAGAGAGAATCTACAGCGCCAAAACAGTATGTGGACGAGGTTTGTTGGAAATGTCATCCCAAAAGATAAAAACAGCAAAAACCAATCTTAAACTTTATTGTGGTTGTGACAGACATGGACAAAATTGAAAAGCGAGTGAAAATTCGCTATGTGGAATATAGCAAACGGTCATCGAGTGGTGGCCATGTGATAATGAGGATAGCAACCCTCCTTTTCAGTGGGTGGAATCTCTTCGTATTCCTTCTAGTACTTCTCTTGAGGACCCCATGGAATTAGTCCATGGAGAACTGTATCGTGAAATAAAAAGAAAATTGTATTCTGGCCAAAAGGATGATCCAGCAACCCGTGTTGAAATTCGAATTGATCAGGATGTGTTTGATGAAGGACTGGCATTAGCAGGGAAGCCAAGTAAAGAAAGAGGGAAGACTGTCTATCGAATCGACTCCAATGAGGCTTTAAACCATTCGCTGGGAATCAAATGGGATGAACGCATTTTCAATGAAAATGGTGATTTTGCATTTGTCATTGAGAAAACTGTGCGTTTCTGGTTGTCTAGAAAGACTGCCATCCAAGAATTTAAGGTAATAGGAGGGAAATACATTAGATCTGAAATAGAGGACAATTTATGCGTAATATTTACATTTGTAAGGGGTGATGCAAATAAGCATAATTATGCTACAAAAAACTGATTATCTTTAGTAAATGTCTTCATGTTTTTCCATTCCTCTTTAAAAAAATCATTGTGCAATTACATAATGTATTATATTATTATAGTATACATATATCTGTATATACTGACATGACAGGGCTGTCAATTAGGGGCATAGCCCATAACACTCGGCAGCTGAGTTAGTTTGATTTTGACTGGATATGTAAACTGATGGTTACTGTTAGCAAAGAAACTGCTATCAATAATATTGTTATGGATGAAACATTAAAGCCAGTGGGTGGTTCATTGAAACTTATTGACAGCCCTGTGGTATCTATTTCTCTACTTAAGGGAAAGTGTCATGAGTGTAAACGTTATAAAGATCAGGCTGAACTTGTCAGGTTACAATCCAAGTACAGTGTATGTTGTCAACTGGTAAATAAAATTATATTGATTTGTTTTGGTTATTTGCATATAACCGTGACCTCCAGATATTACAGAAGGTTAAAATAGATTTGTGCATTCATATCTCATGACACTTTCTTTAAAATAATTTTATTATTTTTATGGGATCAGGGAGTTTGCAATTTCTTCATCCCTCTCAAAACATTAAGCGCAACCATCATGTGACTTCACACTGTAGTGCAACTAGGGACATCTGACTTACAATGTTTCTGTAGTATAAGAAACTAGATTTTATGCCGGAAATATCTTTATCTTTAGTTGACTCTCATAGAACATCTTGGCACCCACTTACCTTCAGTTTTTACAAGGTGTGAGCAACAAGTACGAGGATAGCATTTTTTGCATTGCTTGGTACAAGTCTTGATAGTATAGCCTTGACTGAAGAAATTGCTACATTGATAACTTGGTTTTAGCCTCTCATAACCAGCAACTTCCAGAAATTGAACTCTGTATTTTTTAGTAGAAGTTGTTTCAAAGCAGAAATTCCTCTGTGATTAGAGTATCTAAATTAATTTTTTGAAGCTAAATCATTATATTGTTCCTTACCCTGCTGACTGAAAAATGCAACATTTTTGTACAACTTCAAACACTCTGGAACATTGGAATAGAGGGCATGCATATAAGGGGTGACATCCTTGGCTTGGCATAGGGACAAGAATATTTTAAACCAGCCCTTAATTTTTACTTCAAGTTGTACAATTGACTCATCTGTTTTATAATCCAGTTTTAAATCACCAATGATTTCCATAAACTCACTCCATAGCTGCTGCAGTTTTTCTATATTTTGGTCACCTGGCAGAAGCGAAGGGAAGTCAATGTTTTGCATTACACTGAGTTTTTACTGGACCAGTTAAATCTCTGTAGTCCAGCTTTTTTGTATCTTTGTTGATCCTCCACTCAAAAGAAATGCTAAGGTTCTTCAGGAATGCTTCATACCCGGCCATATGCTTAAACTTCTCTTGGGAAAACCCATTTGGAAATGTTGCCTTGTCACTTGCATCCTTTCTCCTCAATTCTCTGATTAAAAGTTCAGTCAAGTTATCAGATATGCAAAGACATAGTGTGAAGTATCAATAATTACATGATCAAGTGGTCTGAAGCTAAATTAAGGAGTTGCTTTGCAGTTGAGCTTTTTTGATTTAGCAAAGTTGGCAATTTTCTCCAGTGATCTAGCACCCTGGGCACTATTGCTAAGGGACCATACTCTGTGGATGTCATGCCTCTGATTGCGAGGGCATTTGCACCAAATACATGCATGATCCTTGTTAGCTGCCCCTAACCCACATACACATGCTAAAAACTTCCAATTCCCACCCAAGAAGTTTTCAATATTATAGTGTTTCCCTCCCACCTTAACCTTACTTAATTTAGTCATTTCTGCTGTTAAATCAGAGAGGCTTTCTTTAAGGTTGTCGTAGCTCTCAGTGGTCTTAAGTATAGCAAGGACATAATTGTCCTTTTCACTCATTGCAGCGTCTTTCTCGTTCAAAATGGTAAAAGTAATGTTAACTAATTTTAGTCTCTTCCCAATGCAAGTCCCATCTCCACTTATCTTGACCCGGATGACATCCTCCTCTAAATCTCCTTTTCTTTGCAACCATGCAATCTGTTCCTCAAGGCTTTCTTTGAAGATTATTTGCACGCCTTCAGCATCTCCAGGTGTCTTTTTTATGTCTTTTTTAATTTATGGCCCTGGACTATGAGTAAACTTCTGGGATAACATATAACAATTAAGCTTAATCTCTTTTGAACCAATTAAGCTTACTTACTTGTTGATACTGGATGTAAACGAAGGCAATGAATGCCCATAAATTCGGCCTTCGGACCCTCTGATCCTTCTCCCACGGCAGTCACGACACTCAGACACTCAGACACTCAGTGGGGGCGTGATCACTGGAACTTGATAGAGGCTTTTGTTTTCAGTGAGTTTGATATGCTTACCTCTTCAAAGGTGGAATGTACTGCAAAGTTTATGAGGTTGCTTAGCACTTGTTCTCCAAGACTGGGTTCACAGATGGAACCCTCTGGCAATTGATCCCTCTCATAGTGGAGTTTTTGGAACTTTATCACACAGGCTTGCGAAGTAGTTGATGAAATTGTTGATTCACCGGAAAATATATCACAGATCTGAAACGAGTTGTTTTCAATGTTAATAGTAGGTTACGAAATTGGTTGTAATCACAACAAGCTAGATTAATTATCATTTGAGGTGGGTCACCAATACTCCTATACAAATTACCTAAACGTGAAATTATTGAGTCTTTCTAAAATATAAATTTAGGTAAGAGATTGGCAGAGAAAGACATGCAAGTCCGTACACGATATGCTTGTCAGTTCGGATAATATTGGCAATAAATTTTTGAACAATTTTCTGATATTGTACCTATTTAGCATACCACAAATTAATGGCATAAGATGTAACAACATCACCCATTGTTCCGTCGAGAATGGGAGCAACAGTGGTAATAAATTCATCAGTTATGTCGTTGATGCCTCATGTGGAAAACAGAGAACCAAGTACAATCTATTTGCCAATTGCTGCCGAATGATTGCCGGGGTCTAGTGATCTCGTGAACTCCATGTGTGCACATATTTCTTCTGGTGTTACACCTCTGATAGACTCCCCAGTAAAGGAGATGGATTTTTGTGCAAGATGTATCCAAGCATTGGAGGTTAAATATATATTACACTCCTACTATTTCTTTGATTAAACCAAAAACAATTCACTAGAAAAACAGGGGCTAATCAATAATCTAATACACATCCAACAAGCTTAAAATGGTCTGTGCAAAACGAGGTGTGATTCATGAAATTTTATAGCAGAACTCCATGCACTTTGCAAGCAAGAGTAGGTGAATAAGGAGCACCAGGGAAGGGACATTTCCGTATCTGGCCCAGCCCGGAATGTGCCACAGAACAGGATGTGGTCACAAGGTGATCATCCCAGCTGTGTAAGACATTGTGATATTACACTCAACGTACGATTTCATACATTTACTGTAATTCATGATGGCCGCTCAGGCTAACTAACTTGTCTAACCATCTTCACGAAATGTATTTTGTCTTGTTCAAAAGTGGTAAACTAGGGGTTTATAACCAAATCCAATTCTTTTTGTTTATCTATTCCGTTGTTAGTTCAGTTCGATGGGACCCCCCCCCCCTTAGAATACTGCAGAGCATTTCCCCACCTCGACATGAGAAGAGATGACAAGTAGCAAATTTGGCAGGCAGCATTTTGTGCTGAACTGCAGGTTGTTCCATGGGGAATGTCCGGAGAAGCCTGAATTGCCAGCATGTGTGAGGACACATCCATCAAGGAATTAACGACTGGCAAAGGGTAGAATTGCATTGGCCCATTCTTATGTGGACTAGTCCATCTATGGTTAATTCCAGACTGTTAATTCTTCAGCAATGCGTGCATGAACACAACCTACTTGATGCGAAAGAAAAGTCTCCTGAAAAACGCCAATGCGTAGGAGGACAAATATGTCTGACTAACAATTCATGGAGGGAATGCCTAGAAGTCAGAAACATCAAATGTTCTTTGACTATAGTGTGGCATGAAAGAAGCACGTCTTAGTTCATAGTTATATTCTAGCATGGGCTGATTGTTATATAATGTTTGAAGTTTGCTAAATTCATCTCTTAAAAAGATATTGTGGTTTGCCCATTCTTTTATGCACCACACCATCAATCATTTTCTCTAACAAATTAATACGTCTACAATGAATGCATACTGGTAGTCGTCTAAACAGTCAAAATAGCCAAAACGAAGTGCTTCTTTCTGGTGAAATCCAATCAGTTGAAGGACAAACTGATAACAAATTGATATGTTTTAAAGATTGAAACAGACATGAAATAGAGAGTGTTGTTCATATTGCGAGACTTGAATCATTTCATCCAATTCTTGAAACACATGTCTGTAATGGAAGTAAATAGAGATATAGTCTTACAGGTCAATTGCAGGGAATCAAATCGTGTAGAATCAAAATCTCATCCATTGCCAATGTAAAAAGATGAATTTTTTAAGGGTAAGCGATTTGCCAAATGTGCGGTAATGTTCTTATGTAAGGTAACACATACCTAAACTTCACTCAATGCTCTTCTCGGAATTTGTCTCTCATCTGTTTATAGTCCAACGCTTGAAGTTTTTTGGCTATGGGATGGTGTGCTGGAAGATACATCTGCGCTTGTTTACCAGGGAAAGGAACAGCTTTCAGGGCTAATTCTTGAAGAGTTCTTATCTTGGCGTAATGTAACAGTAACAATGGGTGTATTCACTACAAGACTAAATGCTAACTGACCATGAAGCGTGCTCTCTTATCCCTACCGTACACAATAGATGGACATGAATGCGCGGTGGATGAAAACAGATACCATTGGTTTTACTATCTTTCATATCTTTATCAACCCTATTTCTAAATTTCTTATTGAGATAATAAAGGTTAGGATTTGGTTGTTTACTTTTAAGTAGTTTGGAATATAGATTATCCCTATGCTTCATTTTAGCAAAGATTTCTTTAGTAATCCAAGGTTTGGAGGATATTTTAACCTCCTTTTTGGAAAGCCTCTTTTTAGGTACATGTACCTTACAAGCAGAATCGACTTCGTCATAGAGAAGATCAAACTTGCCATTAGTCACAAATTGTCCCCGAACCATATAACGAGTCACCAATTACTTCAACAAATTGAACTCATCGCCATTTCAAGTTGTTGACCTTATGAACACCCTACAACAAATTGAACTCATTTGCTCCTTCAACTTGTTTCCCTAATTATAAGTCAAACACAGCCATGGTTTCTATGAAAAACCTAATTACAACTGGGACGTGTAGTTGTTCTAGTGCCCTGATTTTTTACATGTCCTAATTTTACAAGTGGGACGTGTAGTTGTTCTAGTAATAATTGCCCTAATTTTTTACTTTTGTCTTAATTTTACATATGGACATGTATTGTTCTAGTAACAATTGCCCCTTTTTTAAAAAATCAATTTCAAAAGTATATGAAAGGCGCCACGATGTAACCGCTTCCTTGAAAGTGCATGCAAGTTTAGTGTGTTTACATAATACTTGACATTCCTTTTTGGCCATCCTTTCCTCTTTGAGCGATAATTTAATCTTTCTCGTTTTGACGTAGTCATCCAAACACAATTCACTATCAATAATTCTCAGACAGTGACAAAAATCTGTACACCAGTCTTTCAAACACCAATTAATCCACAAGGTAGCTGTACACACATCTAACTTGGTAAGCGCTTGCATAGACTTTCTACGAAAAATCATCCCACAGTGTTCTAGTAAAGGTTACAATTGTACAAATACGTGTACCCGCATAAGCGTGTGTGAATTTTTCAAATTCAATATCATATATACTTGTGGTGGCACGATCAATTTTTCACAACGTAACCATCAATCAACATTTCTTGTTGAAATAACCGATCGCAGTGAGAACAATTCATGGGATTGCAATGACGGTACTGTTTAAAAGGGTTAATCCAACCACAGGAGGAACAGACTTTTTGAGTAGTGACTTCGTGGAAAACATTCCTAAACATAAAAATGGCCATGCATTAAAAAGCGAGATCGATGCAACTCCACTATCTTATCATTTCTTGAAAGGCCCATGATTTCCCTTGTCACTTTCCGTCAATGGTGCAACGTAAAAATTTTAAGCGTAAAGAATGCAAACAAAAGTAATGGCCTTCTGTTCTAATGCAATTGGTCAGGTCGCACACCATTAAACTTTGAACATATGATACCAAGGCTCTAATAAAAATGAGAACGTAAAAAATACAGTGAATTGAGTAATCACATTTGTTGCCCATAAAAGTTCATATCCATGTTTATGTCATAAAAATAGGTGTATTAAAAAACGGGTATTTGTAATTTTTCCATCCATGGTAAGTGCAAAAAAATTTCACTGGAAAGCAATGTCGGCAGCAATAAACTCCTTTCAATTCAATCCAATCTGTTAAATGGCACACTTCATATTCTTCAATTAGGGTTAATACATCACTACAATTACTAAGAACCCAAAACATTATAAGTGCGTCTTAAAAAGTAATTATACTCTCAAAGCCAGTTTGTTTTTATATTGTTTTTCAAGTCGGTTAAATTCATTTCTTAAAAGACGATTGCCCATTCTTATGTGGACTAGTCCATCTATGGTTAATTCCAGACTGTTAATTCTTTGGCAATGCGCATATGAACACAACCTAATTGATCCAAAGGAACAGACCCCTCAGGAAATCCAATGCGTAGGAGGACAAATATGTCTAACACTTCATTCAGGGAATGTCTTTAAGTCAGAAACATCAAACATTCTTTGACTATAATGTAGCGCGAAAAAAGCACGTCTTAGTTCATAGTTATATTCTAGCACAAGCTTGTTATATAATGTTTAAAGATTGCTAAATTCATCTCTTAAAAGATATTGTGGTTTGCCCATTCTTTTATGCAACACACCATCAATCATTTTCTCTAACAAGTTAATACGTCTACAATGAATGGATACTGGTAGTTGTCTAAACAGTCGAAATCGCTGAACCGAAGTGCTTCTTTCTGGGGAAATCCAATCAGTTGAAGGAGAAACTGGTCTTTGTACGAGAACAGTAAAACATTGCCTATAAAAAATTGATAAGATTGAAGCAGATATGAAATGGAGAGTGTTGTTCATATTGCGAGACTTGAATCATTTCATCCAATTCTTGAAACACGTCTTTAATTGAAGTAAGTAGAGACATAGTTTTACAGGCCAAATGCAGGGAATCATATCATGTAGAATCGAAATCTCATCCATTGCCAATCTAAAAACATAAATCGAAAGCGATTTGCCAAAAGTGCGGTAATGTTCTTAAGGTAACACATACCTGAACTTCACTCAATGTTTTTCTTGGAATTCGTCTCTCATCTGTTTATAGTCCAATGCTTGAAGTTCTTTGGCTATGGGATGGTGTGCTGGAAGATGCATCTCCGCTTGTTTACCAGGGAAAGGAACAGCTTGCAGGGCTAAGTCTTGAAGAGTTCTTATCTTGGCATAACATAACAGCAACAATGTGTGTATTCACTCAAAGACTAGATGCTAACTGACCATGAAACGTGCTCTCTTATCCCTACCCTACGCAATAGATGGACGTGAATGCGCGGTGGATGAAAGACTGAATGTTGCATGAATTTACTTAGGACGCGCTCCGCAAGGTGGATCAAAAAATTTAAACTTGCGCGAATTTACATACGATGGTTCAAAAATTCCCAAAGGTTTTATTCACTTTATCGCAAACATGGCCCAAGAAGCAATTCTTGAAACCATCACTGATTTCCACGCTGTTGCCACTGAAACAGAGTCCGTGTTCCCGTCCTTATGGAGTGCCAATCACGTGAAAGCAACGTGCAAGAGCTGTTATGGAACAATACAAATAATAACAAAACTTAAGAACTTTGCTGGTTATAGACTCGGAAAGCTTTTAGTGGAGTCACTGGTGCTGTCAAAACTTGACTATTGTGACACTGTCTATTACCCTTTGCTGGAATTTCAACTAAAACGTTTACAACGTGTCCAGCTGGTAGCTGCTAGTTTTGTCCTGAATAGGTATGTAAATGACATTAACGATATTGTCAAGATAGGGTGGTTACCAGTAAGACAGCGAAGAGATTTCCACGTTCTCAAACTTGTTCACCAGGCTTTGTACTCCCCCAGCTGGCCGTCTTACATACTACTAGAAACAGTTAAACATCTGCGATCTTTGCAGTCAGGAGCAGCAACAAGATGA